GACCCACGTAAAATATATTTCTGCCTCCGCGACTGAGTGTTACCATCCGATCCGATTCATTCGGCTCTTCAATAAGATCGTACAAAATATCAAACTAAACCGCAAACGAATATGGACATGAGAAATATTATTAAAGTTAAGAAAAGGTGAATCAGACATAAGAATATCCTTGGCTCGACCATTAATAGGCAAACACGTCTAATTAGGTGACGATTAGCTAGACACGTATAATTACTTAATTAGAGTTATGTTACCACCTGGTGATTTACAATGACATTACACCTCCTTTGAGTAATAAAATAGTTATGTTAAATATATGAATCTATAAAATTTACTATTCTTCCGAACAATTTACATTTCATATATTTTTCTATAATATTTTAAATGTCTACTATAAGTCTACAAAAACGGACTATAATTCAATGACTCTAAATATATTTTAAAATTAATTTTCACTGAATGTATTTAACTATTTATACAACAAAATAAGATAAAGTTAACCAAAATTCAAACATAGCCTATTATTAACTTAACTACTAATTTTACAAAAGAAAATTGCATTTCGTACATATTATCTTTTGTTAATAAAATGATAGCACAATGACAATACTAACATAAACCAAATATTTTGATAGTTTACATACGTCTGAAATGGGATTATATATGAATTATTAATATATACACCATTAATATATTTTCATTTGATAAATTTAAAGTTGGATAGAAAGGTCAAAATTAGTGGGATAAACCAATTAAACGCTAATTTGGGTCGATTTATCAAGCAAATCATCCGTACGTAGATATATTCATAGTTGGTATTATGTTATAACAAGTCATTTTGAATATGCAATTTTAAGGTAAGAGATGTTTTCTATGCACACATTTACATCATAGTAAGACCTCAATATGAAAAAAATCTATTAACGAGTAAAACTTGTCTCCGTAAATTATTGTTAAATTCACTTTTTACTATATATTTTCACTATATCACATATGTTTATGTAATATTTAAAAAAAAAATTGTTGTACAATTATTTTATAACCTTGATTTGAATTCAATGAAATTGTTCGTTAAACAAAAACAAGTCATTTATATTTCATGCATATTTTGTTTGGTTTGACTAATTTATATATTTTTTAAAAAATATAAATAATGAAACTATAAAAACATACCTCTTATTTCATTTCTTGATTGGTTTTTTATAACGTGGACCGGGTTATTGGCCAAGTTTTAAGGCATGACCGTATCACAATTACTGTATAAATAATTCTATAACAAAACCATCTCACATCAAACCCAGTAAATCAATACATACTTGTTAGTATATTGTTTTTTCATGCTTGTCAGTTAGTTAACTTGTTATCATGGTTTACACTCGGTCATTTTTGTTCTCATGCATATTTTGTTTGGTTTGACTAATTTAGCCTACTTTTTAAACATAATTGATGAAACCAAACCTATCTCTTTTACGGCCAAATTATCCGTTAAATTCGATCTGATTTGGTATTCGTTTTGATCCAATCCGAAAAATTTGGATTTCCGTTTTGAATCAAAACGAAACAAATAGTAAAATTTAGTATCCGTCTAAACCGAAACAAATCACAAATACTATTTTTAAAAATCTAAATATCCGATCCTATCCGTATATTATTTATATATACATATAATATAGTATATTTATAACGTATATTTACACTTTTTGATTTTTAAATATATTTGGCGAATATATTTATAATAAAAAATAGATAGATACTAACTTTATTTGAAATATATTTCTTAAATAAAAAATAT